TTTCCTTTCGAACCCAACACCCTCTTTCCTAGGGTTTCGGTTCAGGATCTGCCTTTTGAGGACATCACATAGTGTCTGATGCCCTTTGAGACTTTTGTACATCCCTGTTTCAAGCAGTGTCTTCAACCTAGCATTCTCATCAGCAATAGCAGTGGTATCCTCAGCAGAGGGGTTAGTTACCACATCAACAGTTGAAGATATTGCAATAGTATCAGCAATAGAACATTCAGCAACAGAAGTAGCGTTATCACGCTCAATGCATTTAAGACATGGTGGTTCAAATCCTTCCTGAGCTGAACTGATCTGTTCGGCGCGAAGTGACTCGTTTTCCTTTTGAAGATCTTCATGAGCCGCTCTCAATTTCTCAAGATCTTGCTTCCTTTGAAGATAATCATAGGAAAGCCTTTCATGAGTTGTTGAGAGCGTTTCATGACGACTTTCAAGTTCCTCATACTTAACGTGAAGATTTTTTATGTCTTCAATTAAGGACTGAGATCGAGTCATTTCAGCGTCTAACCGATCATCGCTTTTGTCTAACAGTTTTTGAATGTGTTCCATAGCTTTCTGTTGTTCAGTTGCAATTTTACCAAGTGTTTTGTAGCTGGGTTTGGAACCACAATCAGAGTCATCGTCACTAGATGTTTGATAGTGAGTAGTGCGTGTGTTTACCTTGGCACCGCGTGCCATGAAGCAGTAGGAAGGAGCGGAGTAGTCCTTGTCATTTGCATCGGTGTCGGTGATGAAGTCATTGTCTTCAGTGTTGAAGATGGACTTGGCAATGTATGCTGTAGCCAGACTTGCAACGCCAGAATCGGACTCCTCCTCAGACTCCACCTCCGCCTCCTCAGAAGCGGACTCCTCCTCAGAGTCCATTTCCTTGCAAACAAACGCACGTGCCTTGCCAGATGAGCTCTTCTTGTGTGATGAAGACTTGGAGGAAGACTTGGAAGAAGATTTTGAGTATTTCTTCTTCTTCTTGTCGTCAGAGTCATACTCCTTGCTCTTCTTCTTCTTGTTCTCCTTGTCCCACTGTGGACACTCAGAGATGTAGTGGCCAGGTTTCTTGCACTTGTGACATGTTCTCTTCTTGTAGTCATGAGCAGAAACTTCATCATTCCTTGAGCTTGATCGTGAAGACTTTCTGAGGCCTTTCTTCTTGGTGAATTTTTGGAACTTCTTCACAAGCATAGCAAGCTCCCTTACAATGTCTTCAGGATCATCAGAACCTCTATCAGATTCTTCTTTAGATGAGGAGACAGCCTTTGCCTTGAAGGCACGAGTTCGCCCATAGTTGGGACCATAGATGTCTCTTTTCTCAGAAAGCTGAAATTCGTGTGTGTTGAGCCTCTCAAGTATGTCAGACGGATCGAGTGTCTTGAAATCAGGACGTTCTTGAATCATCAGGGCTAGGGTGTCAAACGAACTGTCAAGTGATCTCAGGAGTGTCTTGACGACTTCATGCTTGGTGATCTCAGTAGAGCTGAGGGCTTGAAGCTCATTTGTGATGTCAGTGAGTCGATCAAACGTGAGCTGGACATTCTCATTGTCATTTCTCTTGAAGCGGTTGAAGAGGTTGCGAAGGACACTGATTCTCTGATCTCTCTGGGTTGAGACGCCTTCGTTGACCTTGGATAGCCAGTCCCAGACTAGCTTAGATGTTTCCAAAGCACTCACGCGGCCATACTGTCCTTTGGTCAGATGACCATAGATGATATTCTTGGCAGTAGAGTCCAGTTGAACGAACTTCTTGACATCAGCGGCAGTGACACCTTCTCCAGCCTTGGGAACGCCGTTCTTGACGACATACCATAGGTCGACATCAATGGCTTCAAGATGCATGCGCATCTTATTCTTCCATTAGGGATATTCAGTTCCATCAAAGACGGGGCACGCAGCGGAGACTTTAATTATCCCTGCAGTCGACATAGCTAAAACTCCAGGTGGTTAAACCGAATCACACAGAACAAGGGAGTACCTTGCTTTGATACCAATTGAAAGTGCTAGTGATCGACTAGAGGGGGGGTGAATAGGCGATTTTTATGGAAGTCTTCAAAACATGTAAGTTTCGAAGACAAACGATAGAAATAAACCTATTACCATGCAGCGGAAGGTAGACTACACTAGGCAAACCATAGTCACGTATTCAATGAAGTGAAAGCACAATGACTAATAGTAGCTAGGCAGTAAGGATCAGGTAGGAAGATATTGAGAAGCCAATCAGTACACGTAATCACTTAGTGAAGTCGAATGGTGATGTTGTCGTACAATGACTTCACAAGAACCAACAGTAAGTAAAGGGAAGGGAAGGATGAAACCAGTGACTCGTTGAAGACAATGATTTGTTGGACCAGTTCCAGTTGCTGTGACAACTGTACGTCTGGTTAGGGAGGCTGAGATTCAACTCAGAAGACCTCGTCTTCACCTTATTCCCCTTGAGCTGAGGACACCCAGTCCTCGCCCAATCACTCTGGTAAGTCTTCAAGGTAGACTTCCAAACCTTCACAGACTTCATTCACCGGCGATCCACAATGACTCTTGGATGCTCAGAACGTGACGCCTAACCGGCTGGAGGATTCACAGTCCTCAAGTGTAATAAGTCTTCAGATCACACAGACAAGAAGACTTAAGTGATGCCTAACACTTTTTGGCTCTGGGTGGTTAGGGCTTTATCCTCTCAAGGAATTATCTCTCAAAGGCTTCGAGGTGGATTGCTCTCAAACGACAAAAGCCGTATTTTAACTCCGAGCAGCCAACCGTTTATGGTTGTAGGGGGTGGGCTATTTATAGCCACTAGGCAACCCGACCTGATTTGTCCGAAATGACCCTGGGTCACTAAGGAACTGACACGTGTTCCAACGGTCAGATTTCAAACACACATGGCAACTTTACTTGGGCTACAAGCAAAGCTGACTTGTCCAACCCCGAACAAGATTCGCTCTCATAGTCTTCACTCGAAGACATATGATTTTGGTTAAGCATCACTTCAGTCATTCTGACTGGTTCTCTTGGACCCCACTTAACAGTACGGTGGTTCCTATGACTCAACAAAGAAGAAAAAGAACTACGAAAGGTCTTCATGCGATGTCTTCTCTTGTCATAGTCTTCAATGTGAATGTCTTCACATACCACCTTTGACTTCAATGTCTTCATACATTTTTAGGGGTCATCTCTGGTAGGAAAACCGAATCAATGAGGAACTTCTACCTGTGTTATCCTGCAATTCTCACAAACACATTAGTCCCTCAACTAGGTTTGTCGTCAATACTCCAAAACCAATTAGGGGTGGCACTAGATGCACTTACACTAAAAAACAAGGAAAAATAGAAACTGGCACTGGGCTCTAGGTTAATAGTTTAGTCCTAAAAATAATATAAAATAGCATATTAATGCATATAAAACATCCAAAACAGATAATATAATAGCATGGAACAATAAAAAATTATAGATACGTTGGAGATGTATCAGGTGATAAGTACCCATTGCCCCGGAGAGCATTGATCTCCCCCTCTATGACGACGGGGGGCTTCCACAACCCCTTAGTGCTCGACTTCTGGCCCTCGGCGATGACTTTCTTGCCGCCCTTCGATGCGGTAGTGGAGGCACCCTCACCGGCCATCTCTTGGCGGGGAAGGGAGGAAGGATGAGTTGGGGATTTGGATTCGAGGATGCTTGAGCGCTAGAGCTTGAGGATGAGGGAGGCAGTGAGGGCATTGAGAACATTAAGCTGAAACACCCTCTCCTTTTCACCTCTTATAGCAAGTAAGAATGCCAATCCCACGTCTCGCGTGGCAGTAATTTTGTGTTTTCCCCATGCATCGTGCGTTAAGCGCGCACAAGGATCAAGGGGTTTTGTTGGTAGTGTTGCTGAAAATCCGGCGCTTGATCTCCTTTTCCTGATTGATACATTGATGGCAGAGGCCTCGAGCCATGATTTTATGCCATGTTGGCCTTTGAAATGACGGCACACCGCGGCAAAGCGTGGTGACACTTTAGGTCAGTCAAGGCTGATAGGGTTGGACCTGACCATAGTTCTTGTCCTGACCTGAGAACGCTTCGCCACTTAAGCGGCTCGCCTAAGGAGTTGGTCCCCGAATCCAAGACCGCTTTTGGGTGTTGCAAGAATCTTTTGTTTAAATATAGATGACGCTGGAATACCATGGATATCCAAGCTATGCGACTCCTCGACCCAAAATGAAATTGCTTCAGAAGGCTGCATGGGAGTTGAACCAACTTGCAAGGTTGAAGACTGAAGATTGAGAGCAGCTCGGGGAGGGCCGAGGTGCGTCCACGGCCTGAAGACCGGCTCAAGGGAGACTGATGGAGTCCTAGATTAAGGGGTGCTCGGCCTGTTGGCTACCAGTCTCTTGGATGGGCCGATGGCCCTCCTAAGCCCATCACCGATTAGCCTAATTCATCTACATCAGGAAGGAAAGATCCAAAGACTTGGGTGTCAAAAAAAAAGATCCAAAGACTAGGCGCAGACTCCACGGCATAGAGACAGGCTCTGGCACGTTTGACCCTAGATACAACTGACCTATTTGTAACCCTAGGCACCCCAGTACCTATATAAACCGAGGTGCCAGGACCGTAGAGGACAGATTCATTTGTACACAATCTCGCAATAGTTCACATGTATTCTAAATCCCATCTACAATTAATACAACAAAAACAAGACGTAGGATTTTGCATCTTTGAGAGGGCCTGAACCTAGGACACCGATGTCCCCTCGTATCCTTTTTCCATCCAACAAGACTATCAGACTGGGACCCCCTACCCATAGTCTGCCAGATTTAGCTCCGTCACTAACTATTACCTATCTTGACGTCCTCATGTTTTGAATTTTTGATTTGTAAGTTCCAAGGGGACCTCAAACATAACTTTTTCTTCAATTTTTTCTCTAAAGAAAACTTTTCTTCAATGAGACGGGTCGTCAATGGGCTGAACTCTGCTTGTGAACATACGCTCAAACGGTAAGCTGACGCACCACCTTTCACCCTCTCTTAACACTTTGTGAGAATCTCTGCGCCGTTGACGGTAACCAGCACCGTATGCTCGAACTGCGCGTTGAGGCTGCCATCCACCGTGATGGCGGTCCAGCCGTCGTCCCACACCTCGCACCGTGTGCTCCCCATGGACAGGGTAGGCTCTGCAGGATGAACCATCACAAACCAAACCGCCAGTTAGTCACATACTCACAGTCCTACGTTACTTACATCTATCACAAAAAGCAGACGGAGATCATCAGATCTTCTGACATATCTCAATTACAGCTACACCACCCATGTCGTCTGACAGAGTCATGTTTCATCCTAAGAGTTTGCTGACTGATGGGAAGAAGGGATCAACCAGACAGAAGCTTTGCATTTGGGCTATTTTGCAGCAGAGACAAGTCTGCACATATTGTTATCTTGAAGAAGAAGAAGAAGGCCATGGAAGCGGCTTACCGATTGTGAATGTCTGGCCTGCGACCATGAATCCTGGCTCATAATCATCTGTACGAAATGTGTGTTTAGTTGCTGTTTATGAGGACCAGAGCATTGCCAAAAATTGCTCATGTGGCTATCTAGCATTTAGTCCATGATCACGGTCAGTGAAAACAGCTAAGGTTACTTACAGGTGTGCCATATGATGGGTTCTGAATGGAAGATCGTCCCAACTCCGTGCCCGATGAAGGGATCGACGCTGTAGCCGTACTTGTTCACATGTTCGCTGAAATCCATTGGAAGTACAAAAATGATCACCAACAATAACACAACAATTACATGCATTGATAATTAAACTGTTTAGATTCTCAAGTGATAAACAGTGTCGAGACATTTTCTGAGGATGCATATGTTTTAAGACAAGTAATATCATCATTAACTGATAAACTGCATCAAGGCTTATTCTGAGGATGCATATGTTTAAGAAACGGAAATCCTCGTGAAGCCATTCGAGAAGATAATCTTTGTTAGTGAAAAAACAATAGATGTTGATAATTTGGCTTTCTTCTCATCTGTTTCAGACCCTATGAAAAACGATGTGCTGGCATCTGGTAATATTATATTTGTAAGTCAAATTTAAACAAAAAGCAACTGATTGGTATGGAAATTACCAAAAGCATCATAAAATTCATACTATTGTCCAAAATCTGAGAGAACAACACCTTATTCTCTCTCCAATTGCCTTAAAGCTAACACCATGTTTGCAGGCTGATATGCCCCTCAGCATGCACTCTTCAGTGACCTATTACATCAGACAAGTTCTTCAGGTACTGTCTGAAACTTATGGTTGGAACTTGGAAGTAATCAGTAGAAATCAGACCTTTACAAGCTGCTTAGTAGGTTCATCGACCTCCCCACACAGATATGTTCTTGAGGTGTCACCATGATATCCCTAGAGCAACACAGTATGTCACACTACACCTCAAAATGTGCTTAATTTATCATACAAATACAATAGGGCCTACTACATTTAAGTAGACAGTAACATCAATGTTGATGATATCCCCATCCTGCAAAGTCAGCAGGAAACAACCATCATTTCTTTTCAGGACAAAGAGGTTGCTAGCAATTGGAGAATCAGATAAAAAAGATAGGATCATGTTTCGACCCGTAGTACGTGTGAGTCAGGAATTCCATGGCAGATGCACTCATTCACTGACATGCAGACGCTCTTCGGGAACCCGCCGTATCCAAGGGGAGAAGGGTAGGCACCAGCATCAATGATCATCTGATGAACTGCCCTGTCGATTTCATCTGTCGTCACGGAGGGCTGATGGGAACACAGAGATTTCATAATTTGATATTAGTGGATATGAACAATCCATTGCAGAATACAAAAGAAAACTAACAAACTATATGATGAAATATTAGAGTGTTCGCCACAAGAAGATGTGGCTTCTTTGTAATGCAGCATTACCTTCACCATTGTTCCTGCATACTGAAGAACTCGGGCAGCAAGCTCGCATGCGGCTCTCATATGAATGATGCTCTCACGGTCATGCATTTGCCGATCAGGATTTACATCTGGGAGACGGTCGGTACCATCGTAAGGCGGTCGGCGGATGTGGTCGGGCACCGGGAGGCGTGGACTGACCGTGCCGCGCCTTAGTGGTTCCCTTCCCTTTACTTGTTCAGAGCCATGGGTCTCTGCAACCCTTCAGTTTCAACAGCTACCAAGTGTTCATGATTCATGGCACCAAGGAAGCATTGGATTGGATTTTACCTGCAGATCGCCGTTCTGTTGGCTTCCCCCCAATTGCAAGATTCTCGTGTTGCTACCGCATGGAAATGCTTCTGGATAATAGCCTTGCCTGGGAAGATTCTTGTGATCAGATTAGGGGTCGGCGGGAAGTATGAGATTCCCAGCGAGAGCACTCACGAACCTGAACGGCGGCAGGGGGAGGAGGGGAACAACGGCGGAGGTGGTGACACGAGGAGCTTCATCGCCGGTTGCCGTCGCCGCAAAGTACACAGGCGGAGTTGGCCAATCGCACTGGCTGGTGGGAGATAAGGCGAGTACACGTGGAGGGGGCGTACTGGCTGGTTGACTCGCCTTGAAATCTCGCTCTCACACCGCCCACAGACCGCAGTGGACATGGAGCGGGAGACGCCGGAGGCCGCGCCACCGCCGACCTTTCTCCGCGGGGAGGAGGCGTCGTCGGGGTCATCGTCGGCGCGCGCGCGGTTCGAGCGCCTGATCCGGCGGGTGCAGGCGGAGGTGTGCGCGGCGCTCGAGGCAGTCGAGGAGGGCAGCGGCAGCGGTGGCGTGGTGTTTCGGGAGGACGCGTGGACGCGCCCGGGCGGGGGCGGCGGTATCAGCCGCGTGCTGCAGGGCGGCCGCGTGTTCGAGAAGGCCGCCGTGAACGTGTCCGTCGTCTACGGAGTCATGCCCCCAGACGCGTACCGCGCGGCGAGGCCCGACGCGGCGGCGGACGCGGAGAAGGCCGGGCCCGTGCCCTTCTTCGCTGCCGGCGTTAGCTCGGTGAGTCTCTGAGAGGCGCCTCCCACCGGTGCTGCCCAAGTTCCCATGTCTCAGCAATCTGTTTGCGTCACCACCATTTCTGTGTAGGAATAGCTACTCCCTACCAATTTTCTTGTGTAATAATGTGCAATTGCTTCCACGGATTTACATGATTCTTGTTTTGGCGTCCGGTCTCCAGGTTATCCACCCAAACAATCCCTTCGCGCCAACATTGCATTTCAACTACAGATATTTCGAGACAGAGGCACCGCAAGGTACTACTAGTGCTGCCAAGTGAAATAAGTGGATTTTTGTATTCATAGAATTCAAGTCAAATTCAGATATTACTGCTGCAGATGCTCCTGGAGCACCCAGGCAGTGGCGGTTTGGAGGTGGTACTGACTTGACACCATCGTACATCATCGAAGAGGATATCAAACATTTTCATTCTGTATGACATCTTGCTTCTACTATTATCTTGGCTAAAATCGTATGATCCAAAGCCATTTGACATTTCTCTGTTGCTGTTTACTTTGTTTGTTGGATAACCTTTTTAGGTTTTGTTGTACACTTTGAGGTTCAAAAACAAGCATGCGATAAGTTTGATCCAACCTTCTACCCAAGATTCAAAAAATGGTGCGATGATTATTTCCGTATCAAGGTTAGTTTGATGACCGTATGTTCGTTTAGTAAATCTTTTGGGTGATTAGTCTGTACAATGTCTCCGAATTAGGTGACATGATCCAGACATCTGAAAAGTGCTATTAGAGATCAGGCTTGCTAGTCTTCTGAATATCCCGCAATGTGTAGTTTGTCCTGCACTGTCTCTGTTTTTTCCAGAGATATTCATGGAGATGATTACTTGTCTGTAACTGCAGCATCGTGGTGAACGCCGTGGGGTGGGCGGAATATTCTTTGATGATCTCAGTGACCATGATCAAGAAACTCTTCTTGACTTCTCGACAGGTATTAATAGATAGAACTCTGAATTTGGGTCCTTTTCTACCATCGTCTGAAATGCTAAGGCGCCTGCCTTCCTTCCCTGCAGAGTGTGCGGCCTCTGTAATTCCTGCATACATCCCCATCATAGAACGTCGGAAAGATACCCCATTTACAGAAGACCACAGGGCATGGCAGCAGCTACGGAGAGGTCGCTATGTGGAATTCAACCTCGTAAGTGCTTCGACATGGCCATGATCATCATGCTTGTTAGTGTTAGCTTTACTCTGGTTCTTAATTTTTTGCTCCTTGCGAAGGTCTACGATCGTGGCACCACATTTGGCCTCAAAACTGGAGGAAGGATTGAGAGTATCCTTGCTTCCCTCCCTCTGACCGCACGGTGGGAGTATGATCATGTAAGTTACGATGCTCTGTTACTGTTATATAACTCTGATAAACACATACTACATTTTGATCCCCGCAAAAAAAAACACAACCTTTTTGAGTTTGTACTGTTTAAAGGCGCTGCAATATTTAAAATCTTCAAATCATTCTGAAAATAAAAGTTTTTCAGTTTTAAATAGTTTGGAAAGATTCATTTGACACATTAATTGATAGACTCGGGGCTGTTTGGATTGTGACTATGTTTGCCTTATATTGCCACATTACTTTTTGCCACACTTGCCACACTTGCCTAACTTGAGTTGCTCAAATTATTAGCCACACTTTTTGTGTCTATAACATGTGGGGTTCACTGCTCATAAAAAAAAATTCTTGCCTTAGGTGTGGCTAGAACCAAACACGCACCTAACTTGGTCAAACTTGCCTAAGGTGAGATGTGGCAGAGTGTGGCAATATGTGGCTGGAAACTAAACAGCCCCGTGTGTTGTGATGCATCTTTTGATTGGGTCATGTCACTTTTGTTACAGCAGTGGCATTTTGTCAAGTTTACTCACGGCCATTTGTATGCAGAAACGGCAAGAAGGGACTGAAGAATGGAAACTTCTCGACGTGTGCATCAATCCAAAGGAATGGATCTGATTGGTTGGAACTGAAGTGCTTGCTCTCCAATTTTCCGCCGCTAACTTTATTTTGAAGTGTCTTCTGTGTGTAGATTTTGTGCATTTGCATGGTGCGGTTTCGTCCAGTGAGCTTATCAAGCTTGGAAATCTGCGTTTGGCTGTTTGCTTAATCTTCGTATAAGGAAAAAAAATACATGGTCTTGTTCCTTCCAATAAAAACCTCCGTTCAAGTGAGATCTCTACTGCTGCAACCTAGCAGATCATGACAAAGAGTTTTTTATCTAAAAAGAGGGAAAAGTCCACCAGCCTCTGCCATAATTGATGCACTCAACCTTCTATTATTGCAAAGTTTTAAGATCCAAACACGGGAGGCTCGACCAAGATTTTTCCCGTGGTACGAATAGTTGTCGATGTCCTACTTGATGCTGACCAAGGCTTCGAATCACGGAGATCACGTGTTGCAAGGTCCACGTAGGGTCCATGAAGAAGAAGCCACCTATCCACAATGGCTTCTAACCACAAAGGTCTAGCCTTACTCGAAGTAGATCTTTAGTCTCGTACAAACTTCTTGGATCATTCACATATTAAAGGGCTTTCAAGCACACCTAGCTTGTCTAGGACACACACCATCCACAAGTAATAAGAATGAGACCCCTTGATTGTAAATCTCTTGCTATTATGGTTCAAAA